AGAGAGAGAGAGAGAGAGAGAGAGAGAGAGAGAGAGAGAGAGAGAGAGATCAGTCGCGTGTGACTGCTCATAGATTGAATGCCTATTGAGTTCCCGCCTACGAAACAGTAGAATTGTCAGTCAATGTTCATAGCCCAATCGGGCAACACCAACAGCATAACCCAGTGTAGCTCTCTCTCTTGAATGGCGCCTGGCACCCTATCTACTCTACGGACTAAGCCTACAACTACAGCATGCGAGCAACCAGACAACTTGATGACCAGCAAGTGATGATGTCAACACCAATGCCGACCTCCTCTTCACCCAGGTATGTCTCTCCTCTTCACCCACACTCTCCCTTGATAACCCACAGGCCACAGCGCCCTTCACCTCCGAAGAACCACCTTCGCCCTTCACCTCCACTGCGCCCGCCAGCAGCCCGGCTATGGCCGCCAGCGCCCTGGACCCAGAAAGCGCACCACCGTATTAGCGCTGCCTGTCTCCCTCATGCCCAACGCAACTTTACACAGCGCAGCACACCCGCATTCACGCAGCGTGTTGGAAATGCCTGCATTGGCCAAGGATCCCTGCCCACTCGCTTTGCCTGCCTATATATCAGTGCTTGCGTGTGGGCGGCCTGCTTCGAGCCTGTGCCTGTGTCCCGGTAGCTGTGCCCAGGCCCACCCCAGTGTGGCCCAGGAAGTACAGTTGCGGCCCTTATCCCAGGGCTGCGTCCAGATGCAGACTTTTCCCAGTTTCCCATTGGTACGCTCGGCCTTACTATGACAATGCTGCTTTCTGGTTGGCCAGCGTCCAATGTGTGATGTGTCGGCCTGTCCTGGCCTGCGCCCAGGGCTCAACCAACAGAGGCCCTGGGCTCAACTACTTCACGCAGGAGTCTGGGATCCACGATGCACACCAACCAACTGGCGTGCTGCAACTGTCGGATACCCACTTTACAGAAATGTTGAAAGAAAGGCATGTACGTGGATATTCGCTAGTGGGTCCAGGGCCTCTCCAGGCCCAGGGGCCTGGACCCACTAGCGAAGTATTCTACAACGTGTGACACAGTTTTATGGTTTTTTGGAAAATACAAAGTGATTTTCTATTTTCATGAATGGATCGTTTTCTGATTTAAAATAAATTGAAATAGCACATAAAACTATGAATGCAATGAACCCAGGCGAGATAACACACATTGGACAACCAGATATTGTTCACACACAAGTCCAGTGGCTCAATGACAAAGCAACTCGAGTAATTCAGTCTTGTTGATGAATAATGTCGATCAGATCTGTTCCAGTAACCGAGTATATACCTACATAGACAAGAGCGAGAGAGGGGGAAGAAGAGACTTAGAGGGAGAAAAAGAAGAAGCCCACTTCTTCTTCAGGCCAAACAGATTCGCCCCCTCTTCAGCAGCGTCATTCCAGGCACAGATCTGAGTTCCTCAAAGTGCCACGTGGCACATCAGCATTCTCTTCATCAATGGAGCAACAATGTCGCCTCAATAAACAGGTACGTGTTATCTCATCCCCACAGTCCCTGACCTCCTTCCGGACGACGAAAGTCTAAACAGCGAATGTAACACGTGGCCTAACCACGTCACCAACCCAATACGTGGCAGCAGCCACGTCAGCAATGACACGTGGCGCTGCCACGTCAACACCTTGAAGACATGAGCAAGTCGGCCACCATGCTAGCAAGCAAGCAGCGTGTCGCTGCGCAAGAACGCCAACGTCCAGCTAGCATCAAGCCAGCTCCTCCCAAGCCAGCGTCGCGTCAAAGTGAAGTCAGCATTGACTCGCGACAGAATGAATGATGTCAAAGCTAGGAGTCAACCTTAAGTAGCGTTGACTCGGGGTCGATGCCCCCGGTGCAGCGGTCCTATGCCGTTCAGATCTTGATGCTGCGACGGCCTGGATCGGTCTGCAACCGACTCTCCCTTGGTTTGATGTCTTGGCCTGGTACCTGCATACAAACACAGGTGTGTATCTGTTCGTRGACTTRGGTACGGTACCTGYGACCCGACAGTTGACTTTGACCTTTGAATTTCCCCCAGTTCAGYGCTGGGTCTCACTGGCCATACGCTGGGCTGAGCCGGGCAGTGCGTAGTCACACWGCCCGGYYTCTGCTGAGTGCGGGTTACTGCATKSYTGCCGACCCAATTTYGAGTTCCRTCGCAGAAATAAATCAACTTTTCAACCCATGCTCATATGCAGAGACGATGTCAGGAGCAGTTTCAAGGAGTTGCTGTTTGCTGAACCACCGATCCTCGGATGGTTTTTTAGTCTTAAATCTAACCTTGAACTGCTTCTGTGGTCGTCCACGCCTCCCAGTGGAGAAGAACCCATGGTCTACAATCCGATCTACTTCATAACTTCATTTCATCGAAGGTGGAATCATAGAAGGCCTGTTAGGAAACTCATCTCCCTCCACATACAGTAGCAACTTAGAGGCATGGAATATACGGTAGGTTTTGAGATGCGGGGGAATATCAATTTTGTAGGACGGTCCCTCTGCATCTCCAATTACTTTGAGAACTTCCCAGGGCCCAAAGTAGACAGGCAGCAATTTCTGTGAAACATCTTATTCCAAGGATAACTCATTAGACTTTACCGAAACCATGTCACCTACTTAAAAGTTAGCAGGTTTTTGATGTTTGTTGGCCTGGTTAATCATTTGTTCTTGTGCTTTCTTTAGGTTCTCCTTAACTTTCTGGATGTCTTCCTGGAACAAACCTGCATATTCACGAGTCCCTGGCGGTAGCCGTAAAAATTGGTCCCTGGTCAATACATCAATGGGACGTCGCGGCTTCCACCCTTTATGTAGTGCGTTAGGTGTGCGTCCGATTGCAGTGTGGACGCTGCTGTTGTATGCACTAGCTATTTTCGGTAAGTTCTCGTCCCAATCAATTTGATCGGGCCTGACAAACATGCGCAAGAGTTGTTGGCACAAACAGTTCATTTGCTCGCTTTGCCCATTCGTTTCAGGATGTCGTCCTGACGACATGGTCAAACGAGTGCCGTATGCCTCCATCAGCTTTTGCCATGGCATACTTGTGAACCTTACATCCCTGTCAGATACAATAGACAATGGGAATCCATACTCAGTTACCCATCACATCTGAAACTTCTGGATCACAAACTCAATTTTTGCTTTAGCAGGCAAAGGAATAAACATTGCATATTTAGAGAAACGATCGACTACAACCATCACTTGACTGTTGCCATTTCGACTCTTGACGAGACTCATGAAGTCTATGGAGATAGACTCACCTGGTTCSCTGGGAATCGGTAGGGGCCTTAGTAARCCCAGARGGTTCTCATGYGGTGGTTTGTTTCTCTGACATACCAGACAAGTACGCACATACGTTAGTACATCTTCCTTTAGTCCTTTCCAATCGAAGCGTTCTCTTACTTCTGCATAAGTTTTCTTGAAACCAAAATGTYCTGCRAAGTCATGRMATTCCCCAATCAGCAGACTTTAGATCTCTTCTTTGTGAGGAATACACAACCGTAGTTCAGTTTGGTCTATCAAGAAAAACAATCCATTTGTCATCTTATACTTGGGTAGCAGGGCAGGATCCTTAGTGACAAGGTCAATGATGGGTTTCCAGATAGGATCATTAGCATAGCCTTGTCGAATCTGTTCCTGCACATCATTTCCAATATCCAAGTAAGAGACAATGGTTTCAAAGAAATCACTTCTCCTTGACAATGTATCTTCCACAACGTTAGACTGACCTTTGATTGTCTTCAACTCAAAGTCAAAGGTGTCGAGGAAAGCAGACCATCGTACTATTTTGTCAGAGAGTTTTGGTTGGGTCTTTATCCACTTCAGTGTCGAGTGATCTGAGTAGACAGTGAAGTGTCTCCCTAACAAGTAGTGTTTCCAGGATTTCAGTGCACAGACAAGCGCATACAATTCCCTTTCGTAAGTGGAGTCAGCGACTTTCTAGGTAGGAAGTCTGGCAGACATGAACTCAATAGGTCTATAACCTTTGCCATCGTCTTGCTGTAGAACTGCACCAATTCCATATTGGCTTGCGTCAGTAGTCACAATAAAGGGAAGAGATGGGTCAACAATTTCAGAACAGGGTAGTGATTCAGTGCATATTTTTAACTTCTTCATTGATGACTCGCAATCCTTGTTCCACAACCATATGGTTCCTTTCTTCAAGAGTCTTCTCATGGGAGCAGCAACTAAGGAGAAGTTTCTAACAAACTTCCTATAATAACTGGCTAACCCAAGGAAGGATCTCATTTTAGTGATGGACTTTGGTTGTGGCCAATCTCTAATCGCTGAAATTTTCTTTGCTTCTGGTCTGAGTCCTTCTTCATTGACTATATGCCCTAAGTAGAGCACTTCAGGTTTTGCAAACTGTGACTTCTTTGGGTTAAGTTTGAAATTACGTTCGCGTAACTTACCCAAGACGAGACGCAAGTGTTTCCCGTGATCCTCCGGCGTTTTGCTGTAAACAGGATGTCATCGAGATACACAACTACAAACTGATCCAACCACTGTCGAAACAATTCGTTCATAGACCTTTGGAAGGTCGCAGGGGCATTCGTCAATCCGAAGGGCATGACCACAAACTCGTAGTGTCCATACCTGGTTCGAAAAACAGTCTTGTGTTGATTTTCAGGCGCCACCTCGATTTGGTGGTACCCCGACTTCAGATCAATCTTGCTGAAGTACTTGCATCCCTGCAGCTGATCCAACAAGTCGTCAATTCGTGGTAGGGGTTTAGCGTTTTTCATAGTGACGGAGTTCAACCCTCTATAGTCGATGCATAAACGCAACTCACCTTCCTTTTTGGGCACAAATAAGACAGGCGCTTCATAAGGTGAGGAACTAGGGCGAATCCATCCTTTGTCAGTTAATTCCTGGAGTTGCTTGCTCAATTCCTCAAGTTCCCTAGACGGCATTCGATAGATAGGGCCCTTGGGAGTCTTACTTCCAGGAATGATCTCGATAGTGTGCTTGATAGCACGCTCCGTGATCCCAGTAGGTTCCTGAGATAGATCTTTATACTCATCTAAGAGTTTTTGTATCGACGGAGGATAAGGTGTCGAAGACTCACCAACTTCCTTAACCAACACCATCATTACCTCCTGATCCAATTGCTTCTTCCTGACCATCGATCGAAAAGCAAGATAGTTCATACAACAGAAAGACAAAGTAGAGTCAGATCCTGACCTATGATATAGTTTGATGGCCTCGAGTTCGGATTGTGCGTTTTTCAGCATACTTCCTTTTCCTTGAACTTRATTTCTGGGTTGGCTTCCTCATGCCAATCCATTYCCAGAATCATATCAAAAGGCAAGTTCTTCTCAATTAGGAAGGATATTTCATGCACAATCTTCTTTCCAGTTTTAGTTCTGAACTTACATTTCACACGATCGACATAATGAGAGACAGTGATCGTGCTTTTATCAGCGAGAATAGACGTGATAGGTCGTGTTAAACACTTTACCTTCATTCCAAGATGAAGCTTGCGAATAGCTCTCTCAGAAATATAGGACCRWGTAGATCCTGAGTCTAAAAGTGCACCCGTCCGYTCGTGTGCGATCTCAACATCYGCGAGTAATAGTTCACCCTTAGACTTTGCTTTCTTTKCCCATGAGCTTCGTAGTGTCAGCAACTCATTACCAAGCTCATCAAAGGAGTCATCCAGAGAGACAGAACATAAGACAGGTTCAGGGTGATCTGGATGATGGGCCAGAGAACAACCATCCTCTGCCACGCGAGTCGAAGAAGTGAAAGGGTTAGTAGGCGCCTTACCTCTTTCATCGTCTGACTTCTTCAACTCAGTAGGAGCAGATGCTACTCCTACTGGCGGCTCGCTTTTGGGTGTCGGATAAGAGGACACCATGCAATGATGTGTCCCTCCTTTCCACACTTCAAACACTGCGCATTGTCCATCCTATCCTACCAGGTCTTTTGGTCAATCTCCATTTTCTCCCACGACTTGAATGCCGCGATCCCTGGGTGCGCAGGAAACGAGCGTGGTTTCCTTCCTCGATACCGACCTCGTGGTCCTCCTTTGTTGACCACGGCAGCAGCGACGTCCCCCTTTCCGGACTCACTGCTGCTAGGAACTCCTTCTTCTAACGGTAGCTTCTCCACTGTGTCGTCGTCAAAGACGACAAGCATGTGGTCYTGACGCTTTTGGCGCCAAAGGACTCGCTTACTGTATCTTGCACATGCACCTGCATTACCACCCGATTTTACCACAGATGCATATGACTGCTTAACTTGAGAAGTCATTTGCTCTCTTTCGAGAGCCAGATCAAGAAACTGTCGGTACTTGTACTTACCTGACTTTGACTCGGCCACTAACTGACTTTGTATGGGTTCAGGTAAGGTGCGGGCATAAATATACAGGACCTGATCATCCTGCAGATTTAGATCCGGTACTTGCAGTAATCGATCGACCTCGCGGGATAACGCCTCTACAGACGTCCAATGTTTCTGACCTACGGTTGTGAGCTGGTCAAAGGCCTTATCGGCGGTCGTCTTGTCAAGGAAGCGTTCCCGGATCTTATCCAGGAACTGCTTCAAGGTCATCGTTCCGGCCCACTTACCGATGTCGTCGAATCCTGCCGCGTTGGTTTCGGCCAGGACCCACTCTTTCGCCTCCCCTCCAAGACATGATGTGGAGAAGGCGACCTGTGACTCTTCTTCAACTGGGGTCGTCCCGACGTAGGTCTGTATTTCTACAATCCACAGCAACAAATTTTCATCCTTTTTGTTGCTGAACATGAAAGGCAATTTCATCTTTACCTTTTCTTTCTTCTTGGGCTTCTAAGGTTTCTCGTCCTTATCCTTCTTGCCACCTGGACTAGGTGGTGGACTAGGTGGAGGTGGTGGTGAAGACGATTCTCCTTTCTTTACCTCCACCTGAAGATCTTTCATTGCATCATCCATCAATTTTCCCTTAGGTTGTTCCTTCTGAACCTCTTTTTCCTTTCCCTTCACTAGGTTAGTCAAATTCGTCAGACCCACGGTCAATTCTTCAATCTTTGCTTCAAAACGGTCGAGCCTTGTCTCTAAGTGAGCAAGGTACTCAACCAGATGGTTCAGTGCCACAACCTGTTCTGCCCGTTCCACAATTACCACATGCTGTCTGACTTCTTGTTCTCGTTTTGCTTGTTGTTCATGTTGCTCTTTTTTCTTTATCATTTCTGCCTTGTGGGTTTTCTCTTTTTCAAGAGTTTCTTCCAGCTGGCGAATATTCTCATCAATTGTTTGCTCTGTGACCACCACCTCATTTTTGACATTTCTGCCATTTACTATGTCTTCGAACTGCTGACAGATGTACGCATCCAGTGCTTTACGACACTGGATAATGAACTCCTGGATCCTCAGTAAGTCGGTGCCAGTCTGAGCTGCGTCCAGGTCTGCCTGGGCTTTCCGCAGATCAAACTGGGCCCGCACATGGGACTCAACATCTGCTCCGGCATCGTGCAGCWCGGTGGCCAGAAGATTGAGCCGGCCAGACAACAGTTGTCGTCTCTGCTCAACTYGGGCCCTGGTACGAGGGTCAGGGAGCTGCTCAACATTCTGACCYTCAACTGGGGTCTRAACGGATCCCTCTTGGGACATTTCGGTGTGGGGGATCTACCGCACAATAAACAGAAAATAAACAATAATTAATTCTGCGGCCTCACAGATTCCACACAGCAGATTACAGCAAAGGTAATGACAGCAAAAATAACTGCAAAATTTATTTTCAATTATTTTTCGTTTTCTTCGCTGTTCTTAATTTCTAACTTAGTCTGATGACGTTATTTTGCAAGTACCGGCTCTATCAAAGTGACCAGATACAACACAGGTGAGTATGCCAGCACAGGACAGACAAACGACGCAGGAGAACAAGCCAACATCAACAAACAATCAAGATGACAGCATCAATAATCCCCTGCGTCAGTCCTGATTAAGGAATAGGCACCCCAACACGACAGCTGGCACTACAGCCATCCAATCAACTGTACCGCTGCTGTCAGCGGAATGCTCCTCCCACCTAAGCACACACGTGTCAATCACGTGACACCCCGGTAATGCCAACACAGCAAGTATAAACATCTGCCACGTCAGCATCCAATAATCTATCAATCAATGAAGGGGTGCCACGTCAACAAATCTGGTCCTCAAGTACAATGCAAGTAGAGCCACGTCAGCAGGGATACAATAACACCTCAATATTCCCTGCCACGTCAGCATTCAAGGTCCCTGCTCAAGATCTTAACAATGTGACATATCAATGCCACTTCAGCAATAAAGGTTCCTGTTCAAGATCCCGCCAATGTGATACAATGTTGCCACGTCAGCAAGATCTTCTTCTTCAATCTTCAAGGCGTCATCATCCTCTTCTCACCGACGCGCGCAGTCTTCAAGGGAGGAGAGTGCTTCTTGTCTAGACAAACAMGTTGATAAAAATCGCGTTTCAACATTCTYTCTCTCCCACTATTTTTCCYGCCACTTCATCAGCGCGCGTCCAGGTCTTGATCGAGCACGGGCATCAATGGCTAGTATAGCCACAACTCAAATGCAGCCCGATGGAACTTCGTTGTCGTAGGCTCTTCGTCATCGTGATGATCTTCGTCGTCGTGATGATTTGCGTTGTCGTGATGCTTCGTCACGACAATCTTCTCTAGCGTTGAGGTCACGTTCGTGATCGTGTCTTCCCTTGATCACGTTCGTGATCTTCTACCAAGTCGTCATCAAGATCCAACCGACGCGATCACAAACGTCGACGCGATATTCCACTTCAGCCCGCGTGCACGTGCGCACGCGATTTTCGAAAGTACTGCTCCGATACCAAACTGCAATGAACCCAGGCGAGATAACACACATTGGACAACCAGATACAGTTCACACTCAAGTCCAGTGGCTCAATAACAAAGCAACTCGAGTAATCTAGTCTTGTTGATGAATAATGTCGATCAGATCTGTTCTTGTAACCGAGTATATACATACATAGACAAGAGTGAGAGAGGGGGAAGAAGAGACTTAGAGGGAGACAAAGAAGAAGCCCACTTCTTCTTCAGGCCAAACAGATTCGCCCCCTCTTCAGCAGCGTCATTCCAGACACAGATCTGAGTTCCTCAAAGTGCCACNAAAGAAGAAGCCCACTTCTTCTTCAGGCCAAACAGATTCGCCCCCTCTTCAGCAGCGTCATTCCAGACACAGATCTGAGTTCCTCAAAGTGCCACGTGGCACATCAGCATTCTCTTCATCAACGGAGCAACAATGTCGCCTCAATAAACAGGTACGTGTCATCTCATCCCCACAGTCCCTGACCTCCTTCCGGACGACGAAAGTTTGAACAGCGAATGTAACACGTGGCCTAGCCACGTCACCAACCCAATACGTGGCAGCAGCCACGTCAGCAATGACACGTGGCGCTACCACGTCAGCACCTTGAAGACATGAGCAAGCCGGCCACCATGCCAGCAAGCAAGCAGCGTGTCGCTGCGCAAGAACGCCAACGTCCAGCTAGCATCAAGCCAGCTCCTCCTAAGCCAACGTCGCGTCAAAGTGAAGTCAGCATTGACTCACGACAGAATGAATGATGTCAAAGCCAGGAGTCAACCTTAAGTTGCGTTGACTCGGGGTCAATGCCCCCGGTGCAGCGGTCCTTTGCCGTTCAGATCTTAATGTTGCGACGGCCTGGATTGGTCTGCAACCGATTCTCCCTTGGTTTGATGTCTTGGCCTGGTACCTGCATACAAACACATGTGTGTATCTGTTCGTGGACTTGGGTACGGTACCTGCGACCCGACAGTTGACTTTGACTTTTGAATTTCCTCCAGTCCAGCGCCGGGTCTCACTGGCCATACGCTGGGCTGAGCCGGGCAGTGTGTAGTCACACAACCCGGCCTCTGCTGAGTGCGGGTTACTACATGAAGAACAGTTGTGCACCCGAATTCATGGGTTGGTACGATCTCCTTTACGTAAGTCTTTATAGTGATGTACYGTGGCAATAAAATGTGTCCACAAACACAGCCACGAGGATGAACAAGTAATGGCTATAGGGATACGTTCATCTCATGTATCGCATGACGCCTCCAAAAGGCCATCCGACAGACGCAGAAGCATTCCTGTCAGATGCACCACAATATTCGGCTTTCACATTTCAAGTTATATTTCTTGAGCCAAAAAAAAAAAAATGAAGTCTGGAAATCAAACCCCTCCCTTTAGAGCCCATAAAATCCAGAGTTCCCGCCCACACAAAGCCACGAGCTATCATGTCCAAGTTAGTCCAACTTCGTTTTTTATTTTTTTCTATGCATCTCATTGGACGGGAGGTGGGCATCTTTACAGTCCCCGCTCGGAAACTACCACGGCGTCGAGATCCAATCTATTCGACGGCCATACTGAGTCACTCGATGCCACACGTGATCGAGATCCTTAACCGCGTGGTAGAATACCTTGCTAGTGGGTCCAGGCCCCAGGCGACCAAAAAAA